TGGAACAATTTTATCAAAAGTTATAAAGTTTTATCAAGTGCGGCTATACTTTTGATCAGCACTGTATACCAGGGTTGCCGCCCGAAACCCGAAACCCGGCCTTTTTTTGTACCCGAAACCCGATACCCGAAAAGAAAATTTTCCAACCCGAAACCAGTACCCGATATTTTTGTCAAGCCGAAGCCCGTACCCCGAAATGAAAACACTGCACCCCGATACCCAAACCCGTACCCGATATTTTTTGTACCCGCGGCAACCCTGCTGTATATATTTATTATATTATTTCCTATTTTATTCAAAAAATTTTTTAAAGTTAAAAGCTTCACAAGATCAAAAAAAAGTAAAAATGATTTTGTCGCCCTAATTGGATTATTTAAACATTACATTAAAAACAGGAACTTTTATTAGTAAAGTTCATCATCCGAAAATTGGGGTAAGCTCCAGTCATACTTTCTCCTAATTTATATTAATTTATAAAATATTTATAAACATGAATATTATGCTGATAAAATGGCATATTAAATTACCGTAATTTATTCTAATAGTGCGAAGAGGTGTGTCGGAACAGTAAGAGGTGTTGGAAATCGGAACTATCGGAAATAGGAAATGGCTCAAAAGTCGGAACTCAGAAATCGGAAATCAAAATTTTTTTCGGAAATCGGAAGCAAAAAACGCCGGAAATCGGGAATCGGAAATGGCTCAAAAGTCGGAACTCGGAAATAGGATATATGAAGGGAAAAACGCCGGAAATCGGAAGGCGGAAATCGGAATTCCGACCCACCTCTGATAGTGCGACCGGGCGGTTTATTTTTTAACCTTCCTCTAGGGGGTCGGTTTATTAGAAGGGGTCTTTCTAATAGAAGGAGTCGGTCTAATAGAGGGAGTTCGCACTATCAGATGAAATATAATATGTGTTTTTTGCTTCTACTAGAAAGCCCAATTTTTGTGCTTTACTACTTCAATGGTAAAAGCAAGGGAAGAGGGAGACATCAATGATCAAGCATCAAACATTAACTGATTAACCCGATAATTAATTTGATTTATGCCTAAAAATCCGTTGTATATAAGCTAATTTTTATCTTCAGATGTACCTTTATTTGACAATATTGTTAATTTATTTAAATATTATTTTTGAAAATTTTTTTGTGTATCCCCGCCTAATAATTACAACAAACAAATTAATTGAAGAAAAACAATTAAATAATAAAAAATTGTTTCAACATACTTCTAACAAAAAGTTGCCTGATGAAGTAAAGAATGAGTTATTTATTTTTAGAGATCGGTTATGGAGTTTAGAGTTCGGTACCGGATCGGTTATGGAGTTCATGAACATTTTGAGATCTGGATCACGATTCTCGTACTAAAAACTTATGCGATTTATCGAGAATCAACATTTTTAGGGATCTTGATTTTCGTACAATAAATAAAAATTTATCGAGATTTAACGAGGTTTATCAAGATAATCTCGATTATCAAGATCTATCGAGATCGAGAATTTTTATAGATCTCAATCTCGGTTTTCCTACGACACTCCCTGTCCGATCTGTATTCATTTTAGTTCATGTTCCCAGAGTCCGAGACGTTTTATCCGAAAATCTTACAATTTTACGTCCTCAAAATTATCTTGATCTATTCACTCTGTCCCAAAATTATGAGTTCACCCCTAAATTTTATCATAAAGTTTGCAGATTAAAATCTTGCTTCATGTCTTTCCCCTTTTAAAGCAGCTTTTGCTTTATTATCTAAATAAGTTCGACCCTCCTTAACACTCACGCTTAACTGATAATGTTGTGATTTTAATATTGTGAGGGTCATGTTGGCCTTATAATAGGCGTGCCCGCTCAAAACATCAAACTCTTAAAATATCTAGACGAGTAAAAAAGCTCAAAATATCTAGACGGTTAAAGAATCTCAAAATATCTAGACGGCTATAAAATCTAAAAATATATTTTCTTAAAACGTCAAACTCTTAAAATATATTTACGGGTAAAATATCTCAAAATATCAAAATATATTTTTTCAATTAAAAGGGACAGTTGAGTCCGCAGAAAAAAGTTTTCGCCGCTGCGGAGGAAGCCGGGCATGTCGAGCGGAACGACGGCCGCCGCTTCGCTACGGTCGCCGCGAGCGAAGCGAGCACGACCGCAGCGAAGCACGGCCATCGTGTAGCGAAGACCATGCCCGGCCTACCCTCCGTAGCAGCACAAAAACAGTTTTTCCAGCGAAGATTCTGTTGGTCATAACTTTGTTCAGAAGCGTCCAATCGAGCTGATTTTGGTTTCACTTGATTCAGCTCGTCGAACTCATGCAAAATTGGTCCTGAAGTACTACATCTTAAAATATATTCACCCCTGATACAAGGAAGAAATATGGGACTCAACTGTCCCTTTTAATTAAAAAATATATTTTGATATTTTGAGATATTTTACCCGTAAATATATTTTAAGAGTTTGATGTTTTGAGAGAATATGTTTTGAGATTTTTTACTCGTCTAGATATTTTGAGAGTTTGATGTTTTAAGAATTTATGTTTTGTATGGGAGCCTATAATAGGAGTTAAGGGTTAAGCTTGGATTCCCGTGTCTTGGATTCACGTGTTGAACTTTGTTGGTATATAACGGTGATTTTATGTCCGCAAAATAATCCTTTTGAGATAGTGATAAGCTAAAAAGCTGAGGACTTTTATAACATAGATTTGTTGTTTGCCAATTTAAAACTAATTTTATTTTTGCTAGAAACAACGGCAAAAAAATCGAGAAGAATTCTCCAAAAAGGTACAAAACATACCTATAAGGGATGACCATGCTGAAGCGATTTTTCAACATTGTGAGGAATATTTTTTGATAAATTCCCTAAAAATTAATATTTAAGGGGTTGATCAAGCTTACTCCTCGCTTTTCGCTGCGATTGCTAATCAAAGGTATTCATTTATTGATACCGTACCCTTTAAATACATAATAAATCATGAGGAACGGAGCACATCAGCTCAGTCCGGACCCTATAACTCATCAAAGAATTTTCTCTTCTTCAAGTTCTTGGTACCATTTGATAGAGAATTCCAATAACTACAATAAGACAAAAAATCAGAATTTTCGACTGATTGATAAAAAAGTTTGGATCCAAAAACCAACTATAAAAAGAAAAACGTGATTTTTCGGCATTTTTTCGATCATAACTTTTTTATCAGTTAGTCAAGAATTTTAATCTTCTGGTATTTTGTAGCTTATTTAATGCTCTATCAGATGGTACCAAGAATATTAAAAATTATCAGCCTCTTCAAAGGTTATAGGGCACGCGACTGAATTGAGCTCAGACTAAACGAGGTGTACCCCATGAGGAATATTTTATAAAAATTATGGAAATTTTGATACATACCGTATTTCCGAAAATAATACCCCACACTGAATTAGAACCCTACCCTGAAATAGAGCCCCACTTTGGAGGGTAGTTGAAAACTAGAGCCCCATGAGGTTCTATTATTTGGAAATAAATTAATTTATTATCTTTTGGAGCTTAACTTGATTTTAGTTGAATTCTCGATGTTTTGAGGGAAATTTTTTTAGAATTCAATAAAAATTTTTAAGCCCATAACAATTCATTTTAAGACTAAAAATTAATTTAAGGCTAAAAACATTAAAAAAGCCAATCCGTGATGATTTTGGCCATTGCTCCAAACACGCAACAAACATACCCTTACATGCAAAATGTCTTTCTGATCTTTTTAATGGAAATTTTAAAGGAAAAAATTTTACTAGAAAAGTTGGTTAAAGATGTTAAAAAATCTTTAAAAATTTTTGATTCAGAAAAATTCTCGGTTAGAACGGTATCGTGACAGACAATACAATCAACAACGTCAAAATGTTGTTGAAATGAGAAATAAAATATTCCAAAAATTGAGGGATGATCATAATAAAATAATGGTATATTTAACTATAAAATTCCATTAGTTAGCTCTTAGCTTCCCACAAAGTTCGGACCCAATTTATTTTCAAATTAAAACTAAATCTACTAGTATTATTGGCGACCGGCTAATTTCTCCTTGTAGCGGCTCAAAAGCTCATATTCTGTATTTGATATGCTTCAGTGAAAAATTAGCCGGTCGCCACCACCCTACTGAAGACGTTAAGAACCAAATCGTATGGTTCTAGGAAAAAATTTAAGTTGGTGCCTTCAATCTAGTGTGAGATTTTTCGAGATTTAACTCGTTATACAGTAGCACCCAAGGTATAATATTCCTATGAGGAGTTGATTAGTTAATTTTCTGTTTGAGATTGATCAAAAGTTAGTGTTTATCTTGTAATACAGACACACATTTTGACTGTAATGCTTGCCTAGGATGAATAACATAATAGAAGCCCTGGGTTTGAGGCCTAGAATGATTTATTTCGTAATGCAGCCAGGATGGTAATGACAAGAGATTAAGCTGGACCTGGACCAAGGCCTGGATTTTCCTGTAACCAGAGTCCATGTCCAGGATTTTTTGACCTTCCTGGGGTTTTCCTGGGCCTGAGTTTTTCCTGAATACAGGCCCAGTATCCGGCCCAGGTCAATAAATCAAACTCCAGAGTCCAGGAACAGGTCCAGGCTTTTCAAAAATCTTGATCTCTAGTAATGATCTTAGATTTAATTCAGTCCATAGATAAATATCTTAATGAAGCCTGGGTTTTTATTTTATTATATGCGGTCTCAATGAGTGGTTTTCTATTAGTGAATGAATTCATTTTGGAGATATTATTCTCCTATTCACGATATCACTTACTAATCTTTTAATTTAGAGTCCCTTTTCCACTACCCAATTAAATTTATTAAATCGCTAAATATTTTTTTATTAAATTTTTTTAACTTAATTTAATTATAAATTTACATTTAATCCAGTCTGACACCTTAAAAAATAAACGAACTCCAGAAAAGAAAATTTTAATTAATCCAACACAAAACAAGTCAAAAGACCACACAAAGATAACACCAAAAAATTCAAAAACAAATCAACCGCAAATAATCATGCGAAAAAATTTTTACGGATTACACACAACACACTCAAGGCTAAGCCCTCTAGGAAGGATTGCGCGCGATTTAATGAAAAAAGTTTTGAAAGCAAAAGGAAAGCACGAAAAGGATGTTGTTCCGTTAGTTGAATTTTTAATCCGATTAATGAAGATATAACCGAAAATTTAAATTTAGATGGCAAAAAACAGTTGAAAGACTTCGTGATAGTGCTAAACGAAGGAAGGAAATTAAAAAGAATTTTGAGGAGGGGGATAGTCCTGAACTTGGACATTTGACTTATAGAGGCTTGAAACGGCAAGGAGCATTTGGGGAGGTGGAGGATGATGTGAGTTATTATAATCAGTGTTATCTTTGCTCTGGAGCCACTTAAGAAACTAAAACTCAGGAATATTCAAGTTCAGCAAAACTTAAAATCTGAGGGCTGAGGGCCGTAGACTTTTAGGAGTCTGAGAGCCTTAGATCCGAGGCCTTATTAATCTTAGGGCTTTATTCTGAAAATTTGAGGCCTTATTAATCTGAGGGCCTTATTATAGGAATCTGAGGGTCTTATTCTACGAATCTGAGGGCTTCAATCTGAGACCTTATTAATCTGAGGCCCTTAGACTTTTAGAACTAGGAAGATCAGTTATTCAAATTTAGATTTGATAAACCTATAATTTCACATAGTCACATCATCAAAACTGATCATTAACCGTATCTGAATTTTGGCTTCTGAACCGGAACCTGTTTCAATTCTGATAAAAATCTGTCTTATTCTAGCTCAACGAAATCGCCGAGGACCCACAAAAAATTTTCAAATTTCTCGAAAAATTGCGTTCAGAAAAATATACAAAGAAAAAGAAAGAACCTTTTGGCCGTCTTGTTCAAATGTTACGCGAAGGGATTAAATTGGGCTATGCATTAGCTGGGCATAATGCTTCAGACATTGATAATAAAACAATGAGAATGGTCTCTCCCAGATTTTTTAGTGTTACAGCTGAGGATGACCCTGAACATAATGATACTGTAATATTTTTAAAAATTATTACTATGATTAAAAATATGAGGAATTTTATAGGTGGATTTTATTTCCCCCTCACTCTTCTCAATACATTCTGAAGGCAAAGGGATCGAGGCAAGCTATTTGATTATGATCTATGGTTGGGGTCGGGTTCGTTCGAAAGAATGAATAGGGATTTTGCCCAAAAATCTCGATAGATCAGTCCGCTAGCCAGATTCTAAATCAGCAGATCATCAGCTAATTATTAGCTCGGTTTTTGGGCTTTTTCCGGGCTGAACAGCCAATATAAGAGTGAATGGTCACGCGTGTCTATTAGCTTCAAAATAAGACAGCTGAACCAGTGTTTTATTAACGTGTGTCTGAGCTAAGTTACCTCAACTTGAATGTTAAATTAAATTTAAGATACAATATACGAGGATTAGGCTGATCGGAACTTAGAAATTTCTCGAATTTTTCTACGGGTGAAAAAAGTCGGGTTGTCGAATATCATTTGATGTGTAACACGTCCAATCCAGGCAATCTAATATTGATATTTTCAGAATTTAACAAGCATCCCAAGCATTCTTAACATGATTAGTGGACCTATTGGATTTAGCTCCAAAGACCAACAAATGTGGCTTGATTTGGTTAGATACAACATAAATTTATTGAAAATTTTATATCATTTGATTAATTAATTTTTTTAAATTAAAAGATACTGGAAGCTTCGGGTGTTTTGGAGAGTGCAAAAAAGATAGAGGAGGTCTTGGAATCATAAAATTATCAAAAATAAATTTTAAAATAATTAGGAACTAAACGCCACAAGTTCACTTACAAATTCAACATCTTCAGAATTTATATTGCCTAAACAATTTAATACTACTAAATACGAGAAGGAGATACGGACAAAAGATGGAACACCTCTATTTTTTACAAAGGAGAATATAACGTTGATTTGTTTGAAATTATATTCAAAATTTAAAAATGAATAGAGGGGGAGGGGTTTCAGCTTCTTCCTCGTTTTCCTTCATCAACAGGCTAATAACTAGAGCCCGGCTCGATATGATATTTTTTCGATATTTTTCGATATTTAGGTTCGATATTTATTGAAAAATATCGACCGAGAAAATTTTGGGTTTTTCGATATTTTTCGATATCTATCGAAAAATATCGACCGACCCCTCCGTCCGGGCTCTACTCATAACAATAGACCTTTCCTCATCAGCTTAGAAATCTCAGGGTTGGGGGTTCAATCCGGCCCGTTCTGAAATATCAAATTAGGCATCAAATTTGGCCGAAAAAAAAACTCGGTCGGGCCGGCCCGATAAAAATGGAGCCCGAAAAAAATGACTCGAACGTCGGTTCGAGAATTAATAGAGGGGGTTTTCAGCTTCTTTCCTTTTTTACTATCAACAGGCTCATAACAAGGGTCGTTTCCTGGAAATTCTTCGGATATCCGAAACCGAACCGATGAACTGAACCGAAAAATCCTAGGTTCTTCGGTTCGGTTTGGCCAGGAACCGACAACCCTACTCATAACGATAAGCCTTACCTATTCAGCTTGGAAACCTTATTATAAACTTCCTTCAGGTCATTGAGCTACCCTTTATAATAAAAAAATTTCAAATTTATTTATAAAAAACTAATATTTTTTTCTCCTAGTGATGTCGCTGATGAAGCCGGAATTAAAAAATTCGAGGCTTTTGAATTTTTACAAAATTCAATTAATAAACAACAAGTAATGCTTAATTGAAAAATTTAATAATCTTTTTTAAGCTAAAAGATATGAATAATACTGGATATACGCTTCTGACTAAAGACCAATTACATATGCTTTATGGAAATAATTCTTCTTATGAGGATCCCGTGGTATAATAAATTTTTTAGTCGAATAATTTTATCTAGAATCCATTGTCTTATCAAAACCACACTTGGAAATCATGGGATATTATTGAATATTTCGGAATTGGAACCGATATCCGAAGCGAAAATCTTAAAATACCCCAAATGTTGGGATAAAAGTGTATAATAATAGAAACTCGCAAAATATGCACGGAAAATCGCAAAATATGCGCATATATGCAACGAAAAAGGCCCAAAATACCGTATTTCTTAAAATAAAGCCCCATGCTAAATTAGTGCCCCACCCTAAAATAGAGCCCCACTTTGGAGGATAGTTGAAATTTAGAGCCCCATGGAGCTTTATTTTAGTAAATACGGTAGATACTGAACTATGCAAGCCTTCATAAATACTCTGTGGTTCTCAGTATTTCTTAAAATTGAAATCTATCAAGAATGGCTTCTTGTTTCTCGGGGTTCTCAAGCTTCTATGGACTTCGAATTTTAGTGCTCTTAAAGATAAACTTGTAAAGTCCGCTCGAGCTTGCTAGTCTGGCCGCGTTGGCAATTGTGACCTTTGGCCTGGCCCGTTTCTGGTTTCCGGGTTTGATTTATTGACCTGGGCCGGATCCTGTGCCTGTAGTCCAAAAAAACCCAGGCCCAGGAAAAACCCAGGAAGGTCAAAAAATGCCTGGGCCTGGACTCTGGGTACAGGAAAATATTAGGCTTTGGTCCAGACCCACTCGATCTTAGTATTCATCCTTGAAAAATTATACTTTAATATTTTATTAGTTATTTCAACGCTTTTCGTCACTCAACAAATCAACATTATTATCACTCATTCAAAATGATATTCATAAATTGGCCCTACTTAAATCCTTCAAGATCATGCCTAAAAAAGCTAAAAATGGACACAATAGAAGGAAACGTCAATCAATTGTTTTATCCCCTATCAGTTTTACTCCTTTTATTGAGGTGAGATCGTTTATAACGGATTTATTAAGACTCTCTATTTTTAAAGACATTCTTTGTGAATACTGCTGTCATTCTCTCTCCAATCATCTTCTCTCCGTTGGTTCTTTCTCCTGTTGTATTGGGACCGGTACTTTTACTTAGACTTATATTTATTTACCTATAATTTAGATTATCCTCTCCCCTACAATGTTTGTGCCACTAATTCTCTCACCACGTGTGTTAGGTCCATTCATCCTATCACCGTCAATATTCGATCCGTTTATACTGGTATGTAAATTTTGGCACTAGTAAAGACTAATTTTGACAACTCTTTTGGCTCCCAATATTCTTCCAAATGCCCCTAACAGGGAATTGCAGGGAGAACTAATACACGAAGAATACCGATTGAGACCCAATACAGGAAGAATCTCTATTTGTATATTAGTATGCCTGGTTCGAAAAAACGAATCGAACATCGAATCTTGGTCCGATAAAGACTAGGTGCCCGGTTCGTTAAGGACGAGGCCCGAAAAAGACTCGAACGTCGATCCGATTCAAAAAATACAACCCATCTTTCTCATACTGTCAGAAGGGAGTGCTTAATCGGTCTAGCAGCTAGAACTCATTGATTTTGGTTAAGGATCCACAAAGAAAACTAGTGCTAAAAATTTTTTAAATTTAATTTGTTAAGTTCAACTATTTTATTTTCAGAGTCCAGTAGCGCTAAACCCCTTCATTCTAAACCCAGGAGCATTCATCCCTTTCGTACTCAGCCCCTTCGTTCTGTCTCCATTTATCCTCTCTCCACAAGTCTTCACTCCCTTGATTCTATCACCACTGGCTTTATCTCCACTGATTTTAACACCAACAGCAGCAACTCCTTTAGTTCTATCACCCTTTGTTTTGTCTCCTATTATCTACTCTCCAGCTTTTTTGTCGGCTCTGGTGTTGAGCCCTTATGCACTTTCACCTGTTATCAACAGCCCTTTGATTGCTTTTTCGGTAATCTTGTCGCCGAGTTATTTGAGTTGAAAGGTATATTTTGAATTTTTACAATACATATAAGCACTCTTTAGGGTAGTGATGGTGGTTGCATAAAGGGTACTCCTCTTTCATAGATGGGGATACATGATACATAGAGGGGGATACATGGGATACATTTTTCCCCTCTTTAGAGGGTATTCCCTCTAAAATCTCATTCACTTTTCAGCACCAAGAGGGTATATAAGAACAGATCCGCTATATGTAGTAGAATCTCATTATGGATGCACCCTCGGGACAAAAAACCTTTTTCTTATAATGAGATGTATTTTTATTAGAAGGTATCACTTCGATAAACACCATGTGTCTAGAATTTATGACATTTTATGGGTCGAGAATTTTTTTAACATCGCTATCCTAAAATAGGGCATTTAAAAAAGAGGGAATTCCCTGTTTTTAACATTTGAAATTAAATTTTCCCGGTAATTTCCAATTTTAAAAATCGTGGATCTAGTAGTTCAGTCAACTAGATCCCCTGGTAAATACTACCAAGCCACTGTCAAAATAAATTAAAAAATATGACTAAAATTGAGATAGTGAGGTATTAAGGAATAATCTAATAAATTTTAGTAATGATCGGTGTTGATAACCCAGCAATGATTGAGTGAATAATAAGAAAAAATATTTTTTTTTATTAAATTAATTAAATAATAATTTAGTTTTGTATTTATTTTTAATTATATAAATTTATTAAATTTTTTGGGGGGTTTTTTTCATGGTCCTCTCTGATAAACGAAAAATTTTTTGGGTTTATCCAAGTCATGCTTTTAAAAAATTATATTTTGAGTTATGATCGAAATTGAATAATTTTTGGATATATTTTTTTTATATTTTTTAGTTTATATTATAGTTTGATTTATTAATAATATTTAGTATATTTTTAATATATACGTAATCGCAAAGGCTTTGAGTTTTTTTTTGTTTTTAATTTATTTTATAAAAAAATTTAGCAAAGATCGCTGAAAAATAAGAAAATTTTTTGGGTTTATCCAAGGCAGCGTGGATCCAATGCCGCGTCGGAAATCGGAAGAGCCGGAAATCGTAATTTTGACCCACCTCTGGTCATAGGGAAATGGAGTGGAATTGAGGAAGGAAGCCTGACCATGATGTACATCTTAAGAAATCTCTGAGACTCTAGCTAGGGGGCTAGATATCCAAAAAGTACTAAAAAACGATTATTGAACCATTGTAAAGCATATAGCTATTTAATTCCTAAGGCTGTGCAGTAGACGGCGTGGTGTAATGCTAACACACCACTCCGGTCTACTGAAGATGCTGGTTGACTCCCAGCCGCCGATTAACCTTCTGCACTAGCTACAGGAGAGAAATAGTTATAGCCCAGCTGCTTTACTTTAGTTTATAGTTTAATTTATTAATAATATTTGGTATATTTTTAGTATATACGTAAATGAAAGCCTTTGAAATAGGCATGCTAAAAAGCTTTTTATAAAATTTATTTTATTAATAAGTATATTTTTTATTAATTCATTAATTTTGGTGAGTTAATGAATTAATTGAATAAGCGGATGGAGTTTAAGTATTAAACATTGTGTTTTGCCTTTAAGGCAATAATTTTGATTTTCACATGTTTTCTGGATTTAAATAAACAAAGATTAAAGGAATATCCTTATAAATAAGTTCATTTTTTTCCATGAACACATAATTTAATCAGAAAATTTTTTAAAAATCTCCAGTACATTCCTCTCTAATAGATTAACTCTAATAAACATTCCTCTCTATTAGATTAATGAATAAGCTAATAGAGCTTATCTCTTGAAAAAATTCATAAAATTTATTTTATCTACCGATTTTTTTTACCAATACTTATTTATCTACCGATATATGGATTAGGGTGGCCCTTTTACCCTATTTATAGAGGATTTTCCCTATTTTTGACCTTTTCGCCCTATTTTTTCCCTATTTTCTCATTTGCCATATTTTTGCCCTATTTTTACCATCTTGTAAAATTTTAAAAATTCTTCGGATTTTGTGAAAAAAATGATAAAAATGAGGATTTCTTACTTCCTGGCCTTCCAAAATTCTCAAAAATGTTCAAGCTTTTAATGTTATTCCCTAATTTTTGCCCTATTTTTGGTCGATTTGCCCTATTTCTGCCCTATTTTTGAGTGGGTGCGCCCTATTTTAGTGTTTTGGAAGGGGCCACCCTGATATGGATCTACCGATTCGATTATTACGATCAAGAAATATTTACTTATTTTCCTGATAAAAGAAGAAGAAGATATACAAGAGAGAGCAGCGTCCAAGCAGTTCACCTTTACGTGGTGAGCGAAGTCGACTAGCAATAGCATCCAGTAGATTGAGGATTACTTCACTAGATTGCCTTAGATTACCTTCTCATAATATACATAGTTAAACAATTCAGAATAATACATAAAATATAAATTCTATAAAAAATATTTAAAAATATATTAAAATTTACGAGACAACTATGAAGCTGATTATTATTCTTTTTTTAATCGCAATGATATTGCCCACTATTTCAAAAGCTGAAGAGCTGAACCTGGAATCGAACGATCCATAGTTAGTTTAAATAAAGTTAAAAAAATATTTTTGGAACTACATAAGTGAATTTAAGTTTAAATTGTATAAAGACCGGACCAATTAGAGATCGGACCGAGATCTCGATCGAAAATCTCGGTTATCGAGATGGAGAATTTTTTAAGATCTTGTTTCTCGTATGATAAAATTTTTTGTGATTTTTCGAGATCGAGATGCAGTAACTCGTACGAGAATCGTGATCTCGAATGAATTCTCGGTCTCGAAAAATTCGATAAGCGAGATCTTTCGAGATCGAGAATTTATTCGAGATCTCGCTCTCGATTCTCGTACAATCTCTCAGTCTAATCTCTATCTGATCTCTATCTTCTTAGGTCCATAAAATCGTTAAATAGGATATTATTTAGGCCCAAAAATTTTTAAAACAAGTCCTTAAACAACTGGTCAAAGCAGTTCGAATAATAGTTAGTTACCCCCCCCCCCCCCCCCCAAATGTCTCACCTACTTTACGTGAATATTATCTTTCTATCCGTAACTTTTCACACATTTTATCTTCAAACTCTTAACTTTAAGGTAATTTTACCTTCTAATCCCTAACTTTACATCAGTAATATCTTTTAGTACTTAACTTTGCAATTTTACCCCCAAAATCCACATCTTCCATCCTTTAATATTACATCAATTGTTTCTTCTATTGCTTAACTTTACATTAATTCTATCTTCTAATCCTTAAGTTTATCAATATTATCTTTTTGTGCTTAACTTTACATAAAATAATATTCGCGTAAAGTAGGTGAGACATTTGGGGGGGGGGGGGTAACTACTAATAATACGTCTCACTTTTACATAAATAGCAGAAAATTTAAAAAAATTTTATCCAAAATTAAGCTAATAATATAAGATTTATGTAAAAATTTTCCGGAAGTAATAATCTTTATTTGATTTTAGTAAAGATGCTGATTATAAACATCAGAGCGTACATCGTCCTGTACATAATGGAAGTCCTGTAGCAAGCAGGAAACACACAAGCAAAGGCAAAGCAAAACCACCTCACCCGAATTAATTTTAGGATGGTGGATTATAAGAATTTAAAAAATTTTTCAACCTCAGTTCACAAGTTAAGAAGGAAAATTTATATTAAATTAAACAAAAGGGACTGTGATTTTTTATTTTAAATTTATTTCGGTTATATTTGAATATCTCTAATGCTTTAATAAATTGTTGTTGGGATTATTAAAGATATTGTTGTGTCCGCACTTGCAGAATGAATATAAATGATAATAAATAACCCAGCAATGGGTTGGATTGTGGCACAGTCGGTTGTGCTTCGGTCTGGGCTCATTCTATGATGGTTCAATTCCATCTCCCATCCAATGAATTTTTCCACAGCATGAACAATACAATAGATATATTGGAAATTATTATTATTATAATGATTATTATTATTACCCCTGTTATTATTATAATTATTATTATTATAATATTATTACATATTATTATAATCAGGTTCAAGTTAATAAGAAGGCTCTTACACTCTACCCAGTAACATAGGACTAAGTTTAACAAAAAGTAATCTTTAGCTTACAAAAAAGGGGTTAATCTAAAAATTGTTTGTACCAAAATTATGTTTGTACCAGGCCTTCCAAAATCCTCAAAATTTTGCCTGCGGCGCAAAAAATGGAAGAAATTTGGCTTCTTGGTCTTCCGAAAGTCTCAAAATTTTCACCTTATTTGAAATTTTAATTATGTTTAAGCTTTTAAAGCTATGCCCAAATTTTTGCCCTATTTTCGCCCTATTTTTGAGTGGCCGTGCCCTATTTTAGTGTTTTGGAAGGGGCCACCCTGACATAAGTATGTACATATTATGTCATCTTCTAGCAACTCAAGTTTCTTTCTTTAAAAACAGAGTATAAAGTAAAGCAGCTGGGCTATAGCTATTTCTCTCCTTTAGCTAGAGCAAAAGGTTATTCGGCGGCTGGGAGCGAACCAGCATCTTCAGTAGACCGGACTGATGTGTTAGCCATTACACCACGCCGCCTACAGCACAGCCTTAGGAATTAAATAGCTATATGCTTTACAATAATTTGTTCAATTAAATAAATAATAATTTAAATGCTTTCAAATTTAATTATAATTTATCGAATATTCCCATGCTAAGTTTAATCCTCCGTAGCTTGCTTTCAAAAATTATATTTGAAGTTGTGTTTTGCAAATAATTTTCCAATTTTGGATTTTTAATAGTTTATAGTTTAATTTATTAATAATCCCTTTATATATTAAATGAGTTTTGGGAGACTTTGTTTATCGATTTTTCAAAGGACTTTTTTAAAGAAGAAAAGACAATAATTATTGGAACGAAAATATGAGAACAATTAAGGATAAGAGTAAACAAAAAATTTTTCTCTAATTTGGCCAAAAATAAAAAAGACCAAAAAATACTTCTCTAATTTTGATTACCTATTTACCTCGCATCA